GAAATTCGTAAGATCTCGGATCTGTCAGAATTAATTTATGCCATGACGCGCTCAGGAACGGCAGACTGCGAATAAAAGATAGAAATCTGCCCATGGCAATAATGAAAATTTCAAATTGGTCAAGAGGCTTACAAAGCGGAATGCTAGAAGATAATCTGGAATTGGGTCAAGCATGCGACCAAGAAGGGAATTAGGTGAGACCACCCCAAAGAAAAAGGAAGGAAAAAGAGAAAAAGAAAAAGAATAAGCCATTAACTATCTTTCGGAGATATCATTTGGTTTTGGAAGGGAACCACCTGTTTTATGTCCAGACCTTGCCATGATAAAAGTTGTTACCTGGACAGACTGTTGGCGACAGGGTGCGAAGACGTTGAGGAAGACAAAGAAATTCAGTTGACCACCCAGATAATCACTTGGCGGAAATCCCGTTGATGAATTCCGGATGACATCCAGTTAAGATAGAGATTTAATGACCACAGTACGAGTCGTGGGGGTTCTACTCGGGGAAAAGAAAGAAAAGAAAAAGGAAGATAATTTTTTTTTCTTTGAGCGATAATTGTAAACTGAGGCCAGTCTAGCCACACCCACACTGCCGAGCGTTCATTGGCTAAATGGTGGCGTGAGCGATGGGCGAAGGTAAACATATGACAAAGAAGGGAAACCTGTTGACGCCTCTGAGGGGATTCGTGTGAGATACTAATATGAGAAAGAAGGGAAACCTGTTGACGCCCTCTGAGGGGATTGGTGGGAGATACCAATATGAGAAAGGAAGAATTTGGGAGGACAATTCCCTTAAGAACCCCTCTAAAACAGAAAGTAATTGACTTCCAAAAATAGGAAGTGATAAATTTTCCTGTCCGAAAACAAGGAAAATCCTTACTGCGGATTTGGAATTATCGAGGAACCCAAACCACGACAGGCCCCGACCCGGTTTTGGTCGGCGTCCATATAAACGAACGTCCCCAGAGTAGAGACAGTTACGGAGTAGAGTTACGCAGAAGAGTTGGAGTCACAGAGTTGAGCTGTGAGCTCGGAGACCAGCTTCGCAGGAGCTGACTGAAAGATTCCCACGCATTCCGACTTAGACTTCTAACCAAAAACAAATTTTTTTGAAGAACGACTTAGACTCACACCACCAAAACAAGTTTTACGAATATCACCTGAAGACACCAAAAACCAGTTTATTGAAAAACAACTTAGGATATTAAGACTCGCCTAAGAAACGCAAAGTGTCACGTATCCATAGAAGCGGTTTGGGAGAAAGACCAGTCCTGTATTCAGCAACCAGATATAAAGATACTTGTTATTCTTTTTTTTTAACACATTTGAGTCTTTTGAGTGGTTACTTTATTTTCTTTCACATATACTTGTGCGGTATCGCCTTTGCCCGAATTCGGCTTGCACTGTGGCTCGACGCCTGATTGATTTCGTCTACCTAAGATCAAATCACAACGTGGATAGGTTAGACTAGAAATCAAAGCAGTTACTTCGGTAACCAGACGTTGGAGGCGAGCTGGGAACGACAAAGCCGATACCGAATCTAACCAGATTTCCATCCGAATCGGCCAGGGGTTAGATCGTCACAGGATAGCACAGGGGAAGGGGCAGGGTGACGTCACAGACTATAATTAATTACACATAGCTTTTAAGTGCATTAACATTAGGAATATGTATAAACGTCAATTTATTTTATTTGCAGTCAAAAACTGCTCAAAATCTGTTGAACTGCTCAAAATCTGTTGATCCGGTGTTAATCTGTTGATCCGGTGTTATACCTGTTGATTCGCTGTTGATTGATTAGATTTTATTATAACATTAAAATATGTCCATATTACAACACGTACTGAAAGGAAGTGAATGTTTGTGTTATTTTATTTGAATTAATTGTACAAAATATTGGCGCATAGAATCAAAAATTTGTCCACCCCTGGTATAGAATAAAATTATATTCTTAAATTATTGTTTATATACGATTAAAAATAATTTATTTTAAACATAAATACCAATTTATTGATTATTCTTCTGCTGGTTATCTGTATTTGCTTAAATTTTTTTTTCTTTTTCATTTTTTTTTTTGTTTGCGCATCTTTTAAGAGAAGCGTTAAAAGAGATATTTATCATTGTTGACCTCTAACTTCTCAGATTAACGCACGTAAATAAATATTATTTTAATTATATTTTAAACACAAAAATAAACATTACGTTTACGAAGACCCATGTAATTATTACGTTTACAAAAACCTATGTAAATATTGCATTTTAATGAAATGGTCATTCGAGACAATAAGTGATGAATGAACATGCTACGTTCTAAAATGTCTAAAATACTTTAAAATAAAAACCAAAATTTAAATTCAAAAGAATTTAAATTATTTAAAATTTTTGGTTTCTATTGGAGATTATTACCTGTCCTTTTCTTTTATTTTCTTCTGTTTACTTAACGTCTGTAGAATAATTCTAATTTTTTCATAGTTATAGGTAGGTTTATTTTAAATACAAAATATGTATTTAAAAAAAAAGCTGTAATCGCCGTTTATTTTAAATATATTAAAAAAAAACCCCATTTATTTGCAATACAAATTTAAATAAAAAAATCTCGTATAGTTTATATACTACGCCAACATTGCGTTAGCCAGATATATTTATTAAAATTTAAATTGTGTAGCGGTCAGTCTCTATTCAGCACCTGAAGATTGCGTTATGCATGAAACTCCGAGTCGTGCTACCGTGAGGAAATAAATGTATATTCATTAATATGTACTTATTATATTATTAATATGTACTATTATATTACATCGAGGACTATTTCAGTATTTTATTAAACCAGCACTCAACATGCGATATCATATATATATATATATATATATATATATAATGAATATATTTATTATATATATATATATATATATATATATATATAATTCATATATATATATATATATATATATATATATATATATATATAATTGAATTTGTAGGTCTGATGAATTGGATCCTGATTACGATTCCAATGTACGAAATTATAACCATGAATTATTAGTGTTTGAGCTCTTTATATATATATATATATATATATATATATATATATATATATATATATATATAGGATATAATATATATTATATCCTATAAAAAAAAAACTAGTAAGAGACACCTACAAATATATTCTACTAAAATCAGTAGATACGAAAAAAACTTTACAATTCTGTACAAAACACGGATCCAGAATTAAATAGGCGGTTTCTGGGACCTGATTGGATATGAAAAGTAATGTGTTCTCTACTACGTCCGTGCAGTTTAACTCCACATGACCTGGAAATAGGTCATTCCCGCGCGGAATTCAGATTTCGTGAGTCGGTCACCGTCTCGCCATGAGCCATAAAAACGGTTTGTTTGACAGCCAGTTGCCATACCTGAAAGGGAATAGTCAGCGCAGTGATCTGAACCGGAACAGTCAGGGCAGATCAACAACAACGCTGACGTCGAAAGTCAGCGAACTCGACACACGTTACCATGACAACACGTTAGTCAGCGATGATCTTTCTAAATACAAAGCCGCGACTAAAGTAAGTATCGTATCCCTTCTCTGTTCACTGTGTTTTTTAAATTTCTGCTGGCGTACGCAAGCAGCCAGCAGTCACAAACATGTTTCATTACGCATCTATTGGCATACAATCATATCGAACTTTGCAGACTCACTTGCAATAAAACAACTTCGAAACTTTGCAGATTCGCTTGCGACAAATCATTTTCCAACATGCTGATGCATGTATCTACAATACAAATGTTATAAAATGTGGGTACGCTGACAACCACAACATAGGAGGCACGGTGGGGTAATGTATAGGGCTTGGATTGAGGAATCGGAGAGCCGAGTTCGAATTCCACTCGCATCCATTACATTCACTTACGTGCTAATACCCTTGGGAAAGGTGTGAATACTCTTCTTCTCCCTCCAGCTATGGGTAAATAGCAGGACAGACTGGGTTCTATAGCCTTTGATGGCAACTGGTCTAGGAGAAGGACAACTCTGAGTTCAAAACCTGCGGAAGGTCGTTTGGGGACCTTGTGGCACCAGGTCTCTGTATTCGACCCTTCAAAAAGTGTAGATGGTCCTGCACGAAACCTTCACCACTATAATCAAATCCCATATGCTGTAGTCGGGCCGTTGATTTCCTGGGAACTGATCTGTTTGACCCTCATACGTCGAATTCGACGGGAGAGTTGAGTATATATATATATATATATATATATATATATATATATATATATATATATATATATGTGTGTGTGTGTGTGTGTGTGTGTGTGTTTGTGTGTGTGTGTGTGTGTGTGTATCTGTCTGTCTGTCTGTCTGTGGGCGTATACGGAGAGAAATTACATTTTAACGAGTAGTTCTTACAAGTATCCCGGGGCTTAATAAATTATCTCTGAGGCGAACAGATAAAACGATTTCTTATATCTTATATTAAATTATAATATAATTTAATAAAGCCAGATTTTTAATTTAGTTAGTTAAATTTGTTCAATCAAGTAGTTCGTAAAATACACTCCTTTCTAAGTTTTTTCCCTTTTTTTCATTCCAAGTCTGTATTTAACCCCACCAAACACACACAAACAAATATATATATATATATATATATATATATATATATATATATATATATTCAAATTCAGGAAAAAGTAAAATTAAAATATTTGTTGAAAAAATTAGAACACTTTTTGATATCTAAACCCACCCATCCATCTGACCTCTCGCTTACAGGTCACTCACATTTCTTTGCTCTAAATGAACCAAACGGTCCCTATCTTGTGTTTGGTAAGGTGACAAAGATATTTTATCTCGTAACTGCCCACCTCATCACACTCAGATGGCGAAGGTGACAGAGCGTCCGCCTGTCTGTCTTCTGGTTTACCAACAATACAGCTCTCCCTTCTTTTCCCTATTCTTGATCAAATTGCAGTCCATTTCTCGACTAAGCGCAGGTTGTCATGGTTACCGTAATGAGACACTTGTCTGGACTTTGGAAGTTGATGGCAAATAATGTAACCTGCGTCTGTGACTCGCAGGCGAATGGGGTCACTTGACAAGGGCTGGCGCTCTGGGAGGGTTAAACATGCACATAGGGTTAAACGTCAAATATAGACATTTTTGGGGCATCAACGTTTACAAGAGAAAGAAGGGTGGATACATAGATAGATAGATAGATAGATAGATAGATAGATAGATAGATAGATAGATTCTACTTTAATTCGATAAGAAAATATTTAACAAGAGAGATAGAATTGAAAAAGCTGATAGATAAATAGAAAGAAAGAAAGAAAAAAAGAAAGAAAGAAAGATAGTCGGAGAGAAGATACAGAAATTTCGACGGAGTGACAGTGAGACCGAATGGAATAGATAGATAGATAGATAGATAGATAGATAGATAGATTCTAATTGAATTCGATAGGATGAGAGATATGTGAACAGAAATATTATTTAACAAGAGAGAATTGAAAAAGCTGATAGATAGATAGATAGATAGATAGATAGATAGATAGATAGAACGAGATTGGGATACAGAAATATTAGACTGATTATGATACCAAAATAAATATAAAAATATTGATATTTTTACAGTAAGGTTCAGTCTGTACAGGGCCCGGTGGGCACTCAAGGTAGAACGTTACGATAAGGGATAGTTTTTTATGGATAGGAAGGGAAGATAATGTTTGTCTCGACTTGAACAGGTTAAGATTGTAGTAATCGAAGAAACATCCTCTTGGGAGTCTATTTCATAGAGCGGTGGTTCGCGGGCGGAAGCTGTTTGAGTGGAAATTACTTATCTCCCATGGAATACGGAGGGAATGTTGGTGTATTGCTGCAAGGTAAGTGGCTTGGCGGGGATCGTAGCCATGAATATCAGATCTGCTGGAACCAAGAATAATGGTAATAGCGATAGAGCAGTGAGAGATTCACCAAGTCCCGTTCGTGAGAGAGAGGTTGGAGGGTGGAACATAATTCTTCTCCAACAACGACTCGGAGATGCTTTTGAATTCTATCAAAACTAGAAAGTGAGGTTTGGGCAGCTCCCATCCAAAATATGACCGCAGTCCTCCATTTTTGACATGATATGGTTCTTATAAACTTAGAAGATAGCATGAGGAGACAGGTACTTGCTAGAGAGCTACAGGGTGCCGATCATTTTACATGCACCTTTATCGATGGGTCGTATATAGGAAGTTCTACATAAGGTCGGTGTAAGTTTGTGGCCCAATATCCTCTCAAGGCACGGGGCCTCATCGGGACATAGTTCGGGGTCTGATCGGCGGTGATAGAATGTAACCATTTTGGTTTTAGAGGTACTGTATGTAGTGTTAATTCGAAAGAGAGGTTAGTTGCCAATCTCTTTTCGTCAAGAGGTGCGCCCGGATATCGTCGTATTATCGGCATAGACGTCTACAAATGATCGGTGTATATTCTTAGGTAGAACATTTATGTAAATCAAAAAGACGCCTAGGAGACGCCTGCATTGGCTACCAGGAATTCGGGGGCCTGGCCGTTAATAACAACCTTCAGAGATCCACCTGTTAGAAAGGATTTTATAATAGAGAAAACCCTTCCAGGGAAACCATAGATGGAGGGTTTGTGTAACAAAACTTTATGCCACACCTTGTTGAAGGCCTTCAAGATATCTAATGCCATAGGCTTGCAGTGTGTGTATCATCAAGTAATGGTAGTTAGGATGTCAACAGTGGATGGCGCTGATCGAAACCCATACTGATCGTCGCACAAGTGGTTGTTCATATCCAAGTGATCGACGACCTTCCTGTTGGATAAGACCTCAAAATCGTACTATTTATATTGAGGAAACTAATGGGTCTATAGTGGGAGAAGGATGATCGGACACCCTTATACTTGAAACCCGGACATACCCTTGACAAGGGCAGGCACTCTAGGAGGGTCAAACATTTTAAACATACACATAGGGTTAAACGTCAAATATAGACAATTTTGGAGCATCGACGTTTACAACAGAAACAAGAATATATATATATATATATATATATATATATATATATATATAAGTTATGAAAAACTTGGTAATCCGTATGGCTAATCACAAGGAGGATGAAATCTTGAGAGATCAATGTAAATCCTGAGCTAATATTTTAAAGAAAAACAGACCACTTTTAAGGTTCCATTATCTTAAAGTGGTCTGTTTTTTTAATATATATATATATATATATATATATATATATATATATATATAGTGATATAGAAATATAGATAGATAGACAATGATAGATAGATAGATATAGATAGATAGATAGATAGATATATTTGAAGTCTCTCGAGGCTGATAATATTTATTCATCTATCTATCTATCTATCTATCTATCTATCCCTTTGCTATCACTGTCTATCTATCTATATTTCTATATCACTATCTATCTATATTTATATCACTATCTATCTATCTATCTATCATCTATCTATCTATAGATAGTGATATAAAATATATATATATATATATATATATATATATATATATATATAGATAGACAGTGATACCAAAAGGGATAGATAGATAGATAGATAGATAGATAGATAGATAGATATTAGCAGCCTCGAGAGACTTCAAGTATAGGATGATAAAATTTTCAACTTAAAATATGACGCTCCGACTATCAAAATAAACAACTAAAGAAAAAAACAGAACAGACGTTTATTGAAAAGTAATATTACTACCATAAGTTGGTCATAGTGATTGTAAATACTTGACGATACAATATCAAATTTACATCTATAATCTTGGACCATCAGTAAAAGCAATTTGAAATTTTCATTTCAGAAATTATTAGAATAGAACTTACGGTTGCAATTATCTGTTTCAACAATAGAACGATGTGACCTAATAGCCAATCTATTAGTACGTTCAGATTCATACAGGAGAGGTACCATGTATGAGAGCTCACCAGAACAAATGTCGTGAATTCACGTCACAGCGGCAGGAAAGTAATTGAAGTCGAGATGCCAGGTTAGGACCGATAACATTAAATTTGCTACTTCGTTTATTTTTTTTTTTTTTTTTTTTAATTTAGAGATATGTAGTAGGAGTAAAAGACAAGATATTTGACAGCATGGAGAAATTGTAGATTTATCAACGTTCTAGATGGATTCTAACGCGAAAAAAAACTGTCTGGCATGAGACAGTGACCACACCTACTTGGCAGTAGACCTAACAACTGGTTCGATATAACCACTCCATTTCATACAAGTGGAAAACCTGAAACCAAAAAGTCGCAAAGTCTTGCTTTCCTGGAGGTTAGCATCAGCCACGCACATGGAAGTGTAAAAATGTTTCTCTATGTTGATTAAAATGTCGCCGTTTCGTTTAGGAAGCGCTAAAATTAACAAAACATTTCCTATCCCAATTAACAAGTTTTCTAAGAATTTCACATTTGAATTTAAGAGTAAGCAGAAGATGTATCATTTATTTACTTTTTTATTCCCACATGCAAGGCAATAAAGCCACTAAAACACAAGGGGTTACATAGTGTGCAAGAATTAGGAACAGAAACATTCATAATGAGCAGGAAGAGAAAAGAGTGAAGATGGTAGATAGCGAATGACATTGAGTGTAAATTTTTGAAGACTAAAGTTGGCTGGAAAGCATGGAAAAAGAAACGAGTTCCACAGGCGAGATGTGCGAGAAAAGAAACTGTTAACACAGAACTTACGGTGACATATAGCCAGCTCAACTGTCAATTGATGAGATCTCGACGCCAGTCTTGTACTGTGCTTAAATGTAAAAAGTTTAGGTACCTTAGCGAAGAACTCATTCGAACAATTTCCATGAAAGTATTTATAGAAAGACACAGAGTAGCAACACTGCGGCGGCGGCGGGAAAGTGACTGAAGCCGAGCTGCCAGATCAGGACCAATATTATTGTTGATTCTTCTTTGTATTTTATCAAGGAGCACAAGGTAAATAGCAGGAGCACGGAACCATATGCGGCAGGACTATTCAAAGCATGAATAAATGTGCAAGATTGATTATGACGAGAAAAGTTAACTAGTGAACCATCCTTGCTAGCAATAATCCTATCAGTTTATTCGATATAATAATTCCACTTTATTTCAGTGGGAAACATGAACCCAAGAAGGCGAAAAGAGTTGTTCTCCTGGGGATTAGTGCCAACCATGCTGATGGAAGGAAGTTGTGGAATCTTCCACAACAAACCAGCCTTACCTCTTTTTAGGAAATGCATTCTTCCTATCTGGTAAGTAACATCCTACTTTCATACAAAATATCAACGAGAAACCATTGGTCAATCACAGTACATCCAACTTGCTGATTGGTCAGTTTCAACCAATCAGATCGCTCTCACGTGCAGAGTCAATTTAGGCGCCAAGTCAATTCTGAGCCTCCCACGTGATACACGACCATTATATAAACCCAACACGTGTGATATTCTTTCTTTTTGTTCATGCTCTTCCTGCCTCGAGCCTAACTTAATTAATGGTAGACTTATCGATATTAATGGTAGACTTATCGATATGCAAGATAGATTTCTGAAGAAAGAAAAACTGTTTCTTAAGACAAAATGAACCAACTGTATTATCAGCTGACCTAGCAACAATGGATTCAATATTTCCACTTTATGTCAGCTGAGAACGTTATCCAGAAAAGGCACAATGACTCACTTTCCTGGAGATTATCGGCAGCCATTCTGATGGATGGCAGAGAGGAGTCTCTAAGATGATTAATTGGGAGAAGTGTACATACGAATGATCTCGAGGTGAAAAAATACACGAAAAATTTGCTACATAATTCTTTGAAGATAGACTGCTCCACGGTGTTGATTTTCATCTGGTGATTCAATAAAGGGTTCAGTTAAGAATTAACTGCAGGTTAACCGGACTTATATACACATGGTGTAAGCCGGAGTGCACAACGACGGAAACGTTGTGATAACAACAAAAATAAGGACAACAGTTTACATGTAAGCAGTGTAAATAATTATAACTCCTCATCCCATAAATTCAGACAGAAATATAATTTTTTTATGTACATAGCAAGATATAGAAAGCAAATAAAATCTGTTACTGCCTCCATAAATAATGCAAATATAGAAATCAAAATTTAAATAAATTTCCTGGAGTTTGGAAAATATATCTTCCTAAATAAAATGAAGTAATATTTTTCTGTCTGTGTTCAGAATAAATATGTATGAATGTATATGTAGAAATGTCATGGTTTATTCCTAACAAATTCATTTATTGCTTCCCAAATAGTTATTCACACTGATGATACAACTATATATTCCTGTCGTAGAAGCATGTACGGCAGATCGGACAATGTAAAACTGGCAGCTGCTTTCGAAAATTACCTGCAATCAGTGATTAACTGGAGCAAGAAATGGCTAGTAAATTTTAACGCCTCTAAAACAAAACTGCTTTTGTCTAATCACTACAGAGAACCTTTACTTTGTTGCGGATTTGTGTGATGTGTGTTGGAGAGGAATTATCAGAAGGCTTGAATTATCAGAAGGTTTAAAATTGTGTGTGTTCAATTATCTTTCATCCACAACAATTAATACAAGATAGAGAAATAATGATTCATAAACATCTTGTTTCAAAACGTAACAATTGTATTTATTACTGTTTGGTATACATGCATGAATACTGAGTGAAAAGGTGACACAGAATTGTGTCCCTTTGAATAGGTAAATAGTTGTACCTGAGTTCATATTACGAGAAAGTAATATTAAACTGTAATAGAATGTAATGAGTTCGTGTTGAGTGTTTGAAATTATATGAACAAGTTGGTAGAGTTCAGAGATAATACTTGCATGAATTAAGTATTGTTCATTTAACGTCTGACTTGATCAATCGAGACGGAGTTCCTTTAGGGTCACATTTTGGCGGCGTGTTGAGATGTACGAGTGACGTAGATAAGTTTGGCTCGAGTCAGGAAGAGCAGGAACGGAGAGGTATTTTACTTGACTCCCACAGGGTCAGGATGTGACACAAGGTCGGTTTAACGTGGGAGACCCTAGTGTTTCCACTCAAGGGCCACTGGTCCAAAACTGGTCATAGCATGTCCAAGCTGGTCAGAGCTTAGTCAACGCTGGTCATGGCTTGCCTTAGCTAGTCCGGGCCGAAGCCAGTCATAACTAGTCGCAGCCGTGATCGATTCAGAATTGACTTGGCGCCTAAATTGACTCTGCACTAGAGAGCGATCTGATTGGTTGGAACTGACCAATCAGCAAGTTGGATGTACTGTGATTGACCAATGGTTTCTCGTTGATATTTTGTATGAAAGTAGGATGTTACTTACCAGATAGGAAGAGTGCATTTCCTAAAAAGAGGTAAGGCTGGTTTGTTGTGGAAGATTCCACAACTTCCTTCCATCAGCACAAAGCCCCAGGAGAACAACTCTTTTCGCCTTCTTGGGTTCATGTTTCCCACTGAAATAAAGTGGAATTATTATATCGAATCAACTGCTAGGATTATTGCTAGCAAGGTTGGTTCACTGTGATGTGCTAGTTATTTTTTCTCGTCATAATCAATCTTGCACATTTATTAATCTACCATTCATTCCTGCATGGAATATTGCTTCTATATCTGGTTTGGTGCTTTCACTATATATCCTGAGATTCTTGATAAAATTTAAAGTGGGGTCTGTAATGTTATCGGTCTTGACCTTGCATTTTGAATTTAGTTATTTTCCCACCGCTCTGATATGGCTTCCCTTTGTCCTTTCTACAAGTATTATAATGGCATTTCTTCTGATAATCTTCCTCCTCTTGGTACCTCGACCGCTTGAATTTGAGCGCACTGCTTGATTGGCAACTAGGTCTCACCGCTTAACTGTTGAATTAGATAGATATAACCGTTAGTTCCATTCTAATAGTTTATTTTCTCCCACTTCTTATCTTTGGATCTATTTCTTTTGCTTTGTTGCTTCCCTGTCACCTACAATATTAAAAAATTCAAATGCAATGGCAATCGCCATCTTCTGTGGTTTTGAAACTCGTTCTTTTATTGTCCTTTTTCCTTTTCACGTTTGCGTCTTAGTAGAATCATCAATTTATCTGGGAGGAAATGATTAAAATATATCTGTATTCATACATGATTATCATTCTATGTTATATGTAGTGTCCACACACACACATATTGATATACAATGTTGGCCTTTGTAAGATGTTAGTTGACGAAGAATTCTTTTGAACAAAGTTGGCTGTATTAAATTTATTATAATATATAATTAATATTACTTTTTACTTGGATCAGTGGGGGATATATTAGTGTTTATGAGTCTTTTTAGAACGTTTCCCTTCTGCTCATAGAATGCATTTGATTACTGTAGAGTAATTTGATATGTTTAGAGTAATTTGATGATGTATTGTATTCATCTTTATTTACGCTTATATTTCTAATAGCTCCTCTAATTTGTTTAACAACAATGTGATTATTAATGAGGGTGTGTTTAATATTTTTTTAATTCAGTGTAGAAAAATATTTTTTTGTTGAAGAATTTGATTTTGCACGTTTTATGAAGTTTGGTATAATAGCTATTTTGTAATAAAGGGTGACCCAAAAAAACGGGAATTTTTTAAGTGCATATTGCCAGATAAGAGCAAGTAGAAACACTGCGAGACAGTGACCTTGAGCAAGTAAACATTTCGCCACTTAGAATTCAAGATGAAATTCACAGTATCCCAGCTGAGATGTTGCAGCAGTCAATGAGGAATCTCAACAGGAGATTTCAAGAATGCGCACAGGAGGACGCCATCTACAGGACGTAATTTTGAAAAAATGAAAATTCCATCATTGTTTCTTAAATGGCATGTTTTAAGGTTTCAATTACTATGAATAAAATATTTTTCTTTCATCACTCTTGGTTTTATTGGATTGTTAAAAAGTTCCCGTTTTTTGGAGTCACCTTTTACTTATAATATTCACTTTTATAGTTGGAAGTGCACGTGTTTATACCTGTTGTTTTTTATAAGGAGGGGTAGAAAACATATTATTATTATTATTGTTGTTGTTGTTGTCTATCAATAAAGTTAATACACCGTGTAAAATCAAATTCTTCAACAGGAAGTATTTTCTAGAACGCTGCATACCGCAACAGAGCGAACGGTTGAAATGTTTTGAATTTACATAAGTTCATATACACATTCGGAGAAAATTTGACCTCCTGAAGATGGTCTCACATGAGACTGAAAGTACCAGGGAAAATAAAAATTATTTGAAAGAAAATTCTGGTATTTCCCTTAATCAATTTTCGAAGGCTACCAAGAAATTAATCCATGAATTTGAAAAGAATCACAACCAAAATAAATCGACATATGTTTAAATTAATTAACTAAAGGTGTTTTGAATATATATATATATATATATATATATATATATATATATATATATATATATAAAGATTGAGTTGGTAATAGATTGGTTGTAATAGTCTATCGCTTTGATGACAGGAAGAAATATAAAGAATCAATTAGATAAAAAAAAAAAGAATGGAAAAAGAAATATATGAAAATGAATAAACATGAATAAAGTAACTTCAGAAGAATGACGTAACAAACAAAAGAAGAAGAAGAAGAAGAAGAAGAAGAAGGAGAAGAAGAGGAAGAAGAAGAAGAAGAGGAAGGAGAAGGAGAAGAAGAAGAAGAAGAAGAAGGAGGAGAAGAAGAAGAAGAAGAAGAAGAAGAAGAAGAAGAAGAAGAAGAAGAAGAAGAGAATGTAGAGAATGAAGTAGATAAAGAAGGAGAACGGAGAAATAAAATGTATTAATAAAAATAGAGAGAGAAGAAAAACGAGTCGGTGATGAGAAAAAGGGTGAAGAGGAGACGAAGAAAGAGATGAAGAAGAAGAAGAAGAGGAGGAGGAGGAGAAGAACATATAAGGAGAAAGGAGAAAAGAAAGAAGAAAAGAAAACATTGAATAAGTGATAAGAAAAGGAAAGTAGAAGATGAAAAAGAAGAGATTTAAAAAATAAGGAAGAAAATAATGGAAAATATGAAACGAAGAATAAATGATAAAAATAGGTAAAAGAAAGAAGTAGTGACGAAAACTGAGAATGAAGCAAATAAAGAAGAGAAGGGGAAACTTAAGGATAATTGATAAGAAATGAAAGATGAAGAAGACATGAAAAATGGCGAAAAAGAAAATAAACTTAGAATAAAGGATAAGAAAAGGGAATTGAATAGCGAAGGAAAAAAAACTGAGTGAATTTCATAAGGAAACTGAAGTTAAAATTGAGGAAGAAGGAAAAATACTGAGGAAAAGAGAAAAGTGAAAAAGAAAGTGAAGAAATAAAATGATGATAAAGAAGAAGGGATGGAAATGAGTGAAATTAAGAAGGAAAAACTAAAATACTGCAAGAAAAACCTGAAAGAATAGCAGAAGGAAACTGAAGAAGAAATCGAGGAAGAAGATGAACAAGAAGAGATCAAAAATAGGAATGAAGAAAAATACAGACGAAAAAGAAGACCTAAAATAAGTGAGAAGAAAAGGAATGCGAAAGAAGAAGAAAAGAAATATTAAAATCTAATGCATGTTAAAGAAAAAATATATAAAAATGAGAAATAATCAGCAGGTTAAACAAAAAACGAAAAAAAAAAACCAAAGAAAAATGAAGAGGCCTATAACGTCAATTAAAATACAGAGTGCGATGGGCAAACTGTCGCCATTTTATATTTTTAATTTTGCGCATGCGCGTTTTTTTATGATTTGGTTGACTGCACATATTGAATATAGAGTCAGTTGGGCACCGTCTATGAGAAAAAAAATTACATAATTCACTCCGCTAGTAATTTGAAAACGGCATAATGCACTCCTTGTCATTCGCGCCGGAAGCTCCAATACAAACATTTAAAAATATATGGATGTCAATGGGAGGACAGTACAGAGGATTTAGGAATTGGTGATTAGGAAGGTGTTTGGAGCGATCACTAATGATGGCAACATTATCCCTCCATTTATCATCCCACATGGAGGTCTATATCAAGTGCGTTGTGTTTCTAGTGCTTCCCTTAGTCAAGAGGCTGGTTGCTGGAAGACCTGTCTTCCTGTCTGGCAACAGTATTCTGTACCATGTTACACAAGCAGGAAAATCCTGTCATTGCTGTCAGACAATTTCTGTGATCATACCACCCTTTACATTAAGCCATCCAACTCCCTAGACAGCAATACCCTTGATTATTATGTGTGGGAAGTTGTTGAGCGAAAGACCAGCAAATTCCCTTGTGACACCAAAGATGATGACATTGACCAACTTATACAAGGAGGTCATCCAGAAGGGTTTCGCGCTTTTCTTGGCTCAATGTTCATTTTTGTTGAATAATATTCATATCTTGAAGATTATTTTTTTACATATTGATCTATCTGCTTATATTTGTTGCCATATTGAATGCTTTATCAAATCGATGAGAGATATCCTTCGTATCGAATTCTATAAAGATATATCCTTTTTCCTTACTACGTTTTTTATCTATTAATTTAATTGCACACACACACACACACACACACACACACACACACACACACATATATATATATATATATATTTATGAGGCAGGCATAATATCGATCTCACGCACGGTGAATACTAGACACCGCTTTTTTAATATTTCCCATTTTCTAGCAAGATTAATGCTCGACAAACGTACTTAAAAATTTTAGATTAAAATAAAATTCTTTTTCATTTTTCATTTAAAATATACTCTATTTTGGGAATACGTTTTCACAACATCGCCCACGTGATGCCGACGTGATCATATTGTGAAACAGAACGCTGATCTTGAAAAATTTCACTTATCTGTTTTGATCAGTCTTACTCTTATGTCCATCGTCTTTTCATGTTGACCTGAATATCGTCTAATGTTAATTATGTTTTTAATAACTATGTCCTGACGAAGATCTACTAGACCAAAACGTCTGACGTCGACATTAAATTAACATTTAAACAGCATAATTGCATATTCGGATTTTTGTTTTTCCATATATTTTTCTTCATACTGTCGGATCTATATCCATATATTTGCTTACATATATATATATATATGTATATGAAGAAATATAGTTTAAGGTATGCGATATTTATGGGATAAAGTGCTCAGTATCAGACATAGAGTGTATGTAAATATAAAATACGTATGTAAATATAAAAGTGAACATTGAGGTCAACACTCAGAGGCGACAGACTTTTTAATGCTAAACACAATCAAACACTCAGAGGAGACAGACATTTTAATGCTAAACACAATCATCCTAGCCACGATTGGCTGATGATTGCATCTGGCATGAATTGTCTGTCGCCTCTGAGTGTTGACTTATATTCACTTTTATATATATATATATATATATATATATATATATATATATATATATAATTATTTATTCGGAAATTATAACATAAAAATGTTATATAATCACTACAAAAATAGCCATTTTGTTTTAATACTTCTGGTGTCTTATCAAGTGATGGTGTTGAATGTAGAATAAAGGATTTTAAAGGATTTTGATATCAATCAAACATCCGCCGCTAGAGGAAACATTGTTACATAAGCTACAATGGCCAATCAAAATACAAGTATATGAGAATTCAAAAAAACTTGACAACGGATTAAGGTTATAATAATTATTTAATGCTTTAATGTTGGTGGTTAGACTAAAATAAATTTATTCTAACTAATAAATATTAAATTATACGCTAAAATTTGAAATTAAAATTATATATATATATATATATATATATATATATATATATATATATATATATATATATATATATATATATTGAGGCACGGTGGAGTAATATATACTTATGGATAACTCGCAGGGCAGGCTGGGTTCTATAGCCTTGCATGGCAACAGGTCTCAGAGAAGGACAACTCTGAATTCAAAACTTGCAGAGGGTCGTTTTGGGAACCTTGTGCACGTTCTGCCATTCAAAATTTGTAGATACTTCTGCACAAAAACTACATCACTATAATCAAATCTTATGTACGTGTGTGTCAGGCTGTCGGTTTCCTAGAAACCCTCATACGTCGAATTCGACGTCAGAGTCGAGGATATATATATATATATATATATATATATATATATATATATATATATATATATATGAATTACATAAAATGAAATTCAATTTGTAACCCATTTTGATGGTCATTTCTCCCCACCCACAAAATCTTTTGTTAAAAAAATGTATTTGAATAATAAATATATTGAGGTCTCTTTTCTGGATCAGTTTTAATATTTTATATTATTAGTATCTACTTGGATACCCACGGATTTTTGCATATATATATATATATATATATATATATATATATATATATATATATATATATATATATATATATATGTGTGTGTGTGTGTGTGTGTGTGTGTGTGTGTGTGTGTGTGTCTGTGTATATATATATATATATATATATATATATATATATATATATATATATGTGTGTGTGTGTGTGTGTTACTGCTGGAAGTGAGAATACTAAAGAGAAAATTGGAATATTGACGAAACGTGTGATCTCCACTTGCTAGTCAATAAGTCCAAACAATAATAATAATAATAATAATAATAATAATAATAATAATAATAATAATATGCAGAACAAGAAGAAGAAGAAGAAGAAGAAGAAGACGACGACTCAACCCTGAAAATAACCAATATGACAGGAGAGTTACATAAGATTTATTCTAAACTATTGTATAATTCCTCTTACTATATAATCGACTCACGGAACATTTCCAGAAGAACACGGTCAACATCACGTAATCACGTTTCATTTGCATTCCATTCGTTGCTTAAGAGTACAAAAGTATTTTTACAAGACAAGCGACGTTTGTTCAAAAACTTTTATGTTTTAATATTTTTATGTTTGTACGCGATTTTCAAATAAATTTGAAGACAGAAATACCGTCGAAATATTGTTAAACATTGTTAAACATTGAGTATATTCCTTTCCTTTTCTTTCTTTAAATCGCGCTCTTCTCTAACTGTTGACAAGTATCTGGATATTTCTCTTTCTTTTTAAAATATTTCACCCCAAGCAAAGCTATAAAGCCACGAAAACGCACGGGATTACTGAGTATTAGAGAATACGAAAAAAAAAAAAATACTATTAACAATTAAGGCGACAGAAGATAACCATTGTCGTTACATTTAATTTTTTTCAGAATCAAAGCTTATAGCCGTAAAAGAGTTCCACAAAAGAGAGCTTCAAGAAAATGTTCATCAACTCTGTTATGGTCGGGTTCCTTGTACCACGGTGATAGTCCAAGGTAGAACCAATAAAGAAGAACTCAAACACAGATATGGAATAACACAGATATATTACAAACAGGAATATATACAGAGAAGTAGAAGTGTTAGTATGAACAATCAGGTTTAGTAGAGATTCCAATATCTTGCAGTGGTCGTCTGAACGCGGCTCTGTTTCAGACTGCCTCTGACTCGACTCTTGACTCGACTTGAACTACTCAACTATTCACAAAAGAACATCACGGATTAGACGTTCCAAATATGGAGAACTATGGTAGGAAGTGAAATAAAACCTCATCTCAACGCAAAAATGCTTGCTAATGTCCACAAGGACATCGTACGAAACAAAAGACTCTCAAACGCAGAAACAGATAAGGTAAAACTCGATACAAGACAGAATACAATAACACATGTAATAAATAATATGACAGAGGATGGGGTAAAAACTATATGAGATACGAAATAATAATCTCCCAGTAAAGAAAACCGAAGAATCTGTGATATAAACATTATCTAGATTATGTCACTAAAGATCAGTTCAAGTACATTAGGATAGAATTCTTTGAAAACAACAGAGGTGAAATCATGGATACGAAAAGCCACATCATCCAAATACTGATCACACGAATGTCAGACGGAAACCAGTTCCCAAGAATTCATATGACAAAGTCCAATAAGCAAGTTGTGCAAATATACAACATCACAGAAGTAAATAATGTTATGTACGCAACATCTTTAGCAGCTTTTGGGAAGCTTGGGGTCAATCCAGTGAAAAGATCAAACAACAGACAAAAGAGGCAGATTGGAAGGTAAAATTGATGCGGGAAATAAAGGAAATCAGATGTGTGTTATCGATACTAGATGAGATCCCAAGAAACCCAAATGTCTCAACATGCAAATGTAGGATGATGAAGCAGAAATATAGAAGTAACTCACTAAACGAAATTCCAGCAATCAAATGCTAAAACAGAAACTGCAGTTAAAATTACAAAGAACGATACGATACGAAAAGCGTTGTAGGCTCTATCGCCAAAAATAATATATTCCAAACGGACCTTAAATTTTACAGGGAAATTTTGAAAAGCAGTTATACTTGTCAAAAAGTCACCATCCATTGAAAAAGTGCAGAAATTTTGGGCGAATATTTGGAGCAGCCCAAAGGAACATAACCCAAATGCAGAATGGATTCAACGAGAAGAACGAATGTTGGATAAACCACT